GCCATGGTCACTCCCAGATGGGGAGGCAGTCTTTGAGGCTGGGACCCACTGTCCCTCACAGATCTGTAATAAAGTGCATTTATGGATATTGCATTCTGTTTGTCTTATTGGCGACTGACTACGGAAAGAACCCCTTGCGTTCAGTAACATATCCTGTGCCAATCTTCGTGTCTCTGATACACCAACCTCTATGACCCCAGTCACTGAGTCAATCCATCTCATACTTTCAAAAAGATAAATGTGAAAACTTTTCAAAAACAATTTTTAAATTTCCTTATTTAAAACTTTTTACATTTAATTGGTTTTATTCCACTATTACCAACTATCTTTAATGTTATTTTTTTCTCCCCTTTCAGCTGCTTTAATTAAAGATCTGAGAATCTGTGCCTTCTTGTTGGACTGAAGCTATTCAGCCACATTTCCTTCTTCTGGGTGGGTCAGTTCCAGCTGAAGGGTACACCACCACCACCTAGCAGGGCCTGCTTGGAGTACCAAACTCATTACTGCTAAGAACTAACACACAGCTGACCCTCCAGTGCATTTCCAGAGGTTGTAAATCTCATAGAAGGAAACTGTCCATCTATTTCCCTCATAACATGTGGTGGTTTCGAACTCTTTCTCTTTGGGTTGGCAGCACAACTCCTTACCCTCTAGGCCACTAGGAAGTGCAACTACAGTGCTCCTTCGAGGCAAGGGTGGTGAAGCTTGGTCTCACGTACTTTTGAGTGTGTTATCAGGAGGGGCTGGACCTTGGAAAGAGACATTATGCTGGGAAGGGTGGAGACTCAGAGAAGGAAAGGAAGGCTCCAACAAGACGGACTAACAAAGGGACAGGCAGAAAGACAGCACGAAGGTTGTCTACTGAGTGGAGGAATTTCTGGAGGTAAGCGCTGGGCCCAATACTGAGAGGCATGGTGCCACACCCGCCTCGCTGTCCTCTCTGGCCACGACGCCCGACGCCCGTGTGACAAAATGGGACGTCCGTGCCTGTACGGGGTCTCTGACCTCAAGGATAGCATAAGAGGGAATCTTGCAAGCCCTGTGCTTGTGAGTGGGCTGATGCCTGGATATTTGTTACAGATGGGTCTTCGTAATCCCGGGAAACCTCTGGAAATTAAGTTGCTTCTAGGAATTGCTTTTCTATTTTTAAGCTATGTGCTGTTTCTGATAAGAATAGGAGTTTCTGGGGAAAAATCAGGGGAACTTCACCAGAACTGGGATAAAGATTTAACTAAAGTCCTTAATCAGGAACCACTTGATGTTCCTGGAAATGATAATAAACAAGATGAAAATATAATAGAAATTGAGATTGTTCGTGATCTTTGAGTATGTATCTAATTCCTCTTTTGTGATACTTGCAACTCATATTCAGCAATGTAATTGTATATTAGGAGAAAGTTTAGACTAGTTTCAACAGCAGAAAGTCATAGTTAATGAGAATAAAACAGAGAGGTTTAAGAAAAGACTCAAAAGACAAACTTCTCTAAAAGTAAAGGTCTCTTCAAGAAATAGGAAATATTACCAGATAAATAACAGGTGGTGGGAAGAAAGTACTTATAAAGGACCATATGTCCTGCCAACTCCAACACCAGTACCTCTTCCTTATACAGACGTTTTGTATTCCAAGGAAAAAGAATTGAATATTACAAGTTAACTTGGTAAAAACAAGTTAAAGGAAGTCGTACGCCTTAGTGCACATTGCCAAACAAAAACAAATTAAAATCTTATGAAACAAGTTGCAAAAGCTATTGATAAACATAGGAATGGTCCAGAGTGTAGGAAAATAGATGTTAAGATTCGTTAGGCTTGGACCTTATGTAGTACAGTACAAACACGAGTACAAAGGCAAAAACAAAGGTGGCTAAGATACAGTAACGCAAAGTAGGAGAGGAAAGGAAGTGAAATGTAAACCATTAACCATTGTCTAGCAGATGACCAACATAAGGTCATTGTGTTTCTTGTTTAAAGAATGTTTAATAGCTGCTGCTATTATTTAGTAATAGAAAATACTTTCTTTTTGTTTTTTCTAGTTAAAATTTTATGTGAGTTTTGTAATCACAAAATGTTGGCTATAAGTCAAGTTTAACAAGTTTAAATGTATAAAAAGCAAGCTTTTAGCATAATAAATCAGAGCTCTCTACATCATCCTGGTGTGCAGACTCTCATTTTCGCCGACTTCATCCCTCACCTGCTCTTCACCAAGAAACCCCTCGAGTTTCTTGTCACGACCGTGGTCGGGTGGTCGGTGACAGCATGGACCACCTCCACCACCAAGGACTGCCCAGGTCCTCAAGCAGAGCTCACCCAGACAGGGCGGGGGTGGCACCTGTCCCTCTACCTGCCCCCTGTGCATCTATCTCCTGTCCCTCTACCTGTCCTCTCTTCCTCTACCTGCCCGCTGTGTCTCTATCTACCGACTGTGTCTCTTCCTGCCTCTTGTGTCTCTATTTCCTGTGTCTCCACCTGCCCCCTGTGTCTCTATCTCCTGTGTCTCTACCTGCCCTCTCTCCCTCTCCATAGACCCTCTCCCTCTCCCTAACCCTTTCCCTCTATCTGCCCCCTGTGTCTCTACCTGCCCTCTCTCCCTCTACCTGGCCCCTCTCCCTCTACCTGCCCCCTCTTCCTCTACCTGCCCCCTGTGTCTCTATCTCCTGTGTCTCTACCTGCCTCCGGTGCCCCGCCCTCAGAATCTGCAGCCTCAGCACAGTTTCGAGGGCCCCGTGCGCTGCAGGCGTCCGCGTGGGTGGGTGTCCCCGCGCTCCGTGGCCCCGCAGCCGCACTGTCCTTCACGACCGCCAACGGCGTTAGAGCCCCACAGCGAGGAGGGGATGAGAGGCCCCGCTGAGGGAGCAGAGACCACCAAGCAGGTGCTGCCACTGGGACTCCTAACAGGAAGCTCTCAGAACACAGTTCCCCTGCCCTCCTGATCCAGTAAATGTGACCCCAGGTTAGGCCCACACCCACACGGGGTTGGGGGGCAGGTGTTCCCAACGCCACTTCCTCCTGACTGAAGTTTCAGTTTTGTACCCATTTCTCTTTTCTGATTCTCAGTAAAATCCTGCAGACATTTTGCTGATGAAGAAACAACCTCTGAAAAAGTAAATGAGATGGCCAAGGTCACCTAGCAAGTGGTAAGGTAAAGATCTGAACTCTGGTCCGTGGGCTCTTTCCACTATCTGCTTCTCCATCTCCTCAGTGTCCAGCGTCAGTGGACCATTTCAGGGACAAGTTAAGCCTCAAGAATTAATGAGTTAAGTACTAGTAGGTAAAGATTATTGTTGTAGTTGTTAGGTGCTGTCGAGTCACCTTAGCTGTGAACCTTGCCCTATCCTGTGCCATCCTCATATTTAATTATAAATATATAATGAATACATAATAAATAATTTGTGCATGGGCAAGAAGACCTCCAGGTTTCAGAAGAGATTAAAAAGCTGGGACATTGAAAATCTGCAGAAACTCAAATCTGCTTCTCCTCCATCTCAGCTCTGTCTCTGAGTAATTTCTCTAGGTTTTCACTTTCAAAATGTGTTTCCTCTGTAAACTGCTTCCATTAGGATAGAACATGGCGATGCCTCTGCCCTTTCCATGAAGAGCCCCGACCTCAACAATCTGGACGTATGATGGGCCCAGCTTGAGTCTGATGGTGGCCTTTGTCCTGATTGGTGGCTAGGTTCAAGGAATCATCCTCATGGGTATTAAGTATGGAATCTAGAAAGGCCAAATCCCAAAAGTTAGTCATCATTTAATGAGTTATAATTATCAAATCTATAGAACACCTTTCCTACACGATCTTAGGTCTCTAGCTGGTGCAGCTTACCTTTTCAGAGTTTTGTGTCATTGTGTATCATCAAGTCAGCACCGACTCCTAGCTCGCCCTCTATTAGATTTTCAGAGACAGTAAATTACAGAAGATGAGACTGCCCTTCATTCTCCCGTGGAGCAGCTGGTGGATTGGAACCATGGGCCTTCGGGGCGGCAGCACTGCTTCTTACACTGGGCCACAAGAGCTCCCTTTCAAGCAGCCAATCCAGGCGTGTGATGCTATGACGTCAGTTTTGCTAGGCAGACAGTTCTGCACCAGTTTTTTATTTGGAAAGAAGCAACAGAAGGGAAGAGAGCAAACCACAAGCATGAGTTCCACTTCATAGACCTGTAACTATAGGAAGGATGGCAATTCCTAGAGAGAGAAGGATTTATGTCACAGGGAAAGCCACCACGTTGTACTGGCTTCCACAATCCAGAGTCATTTAAGGTTGGCAAAGGAGCAAAGCTGTATGAAAAGTCTTTGTTTTTCTGTGTAATAATATTGTTAATTTGATGGGGGGGGGATGAGTCAAAAATGAACATCAGTAAAATTAGATCTTACTAAAGACAATAATTAACACTAAGTTGTTTCTGTATTTTCCCACAGAAAAGAAACACTCGTCCTTTCCTCTATCATACCTTATGAAAATGCCACACAATTATCCTTTGATAAGAAAGGAAGCAAGAATATTTGGGGTAAGAACTAAATGAAGACGTGATTATAGTGTTGCAATTTCCAAATACAAACTGGGAGGAGACTTTATTTCTATGAAAAGAGGAGAATTATGTTAGTTAGGTGCTGCCAAGTTGAGTATGACCCATAGAGACCTTGTGAAAACAGAGCTGAACGCTCTCCTGTCCTATGCCATCTATGGAGGAGGAGAAGTAGTGAAGTTATCCTTAAATAATAAAAAAAAATATCATTTCAACAATATAAATATTATTTAAATACCCATATGAATTTAAATATGAATTAGCTTAGGGAGCACCGGCGGCTTAATGGTGAGGAGCTTCACTGCCAACCCAAAGGCATGCAGCGTGACTCCACCAGCCGCTCGGTGGGAGAAAGATGGGCCATCTCCTCTCGTGCAGTTTGCTTCCTCTGAAAGCCCACTGACAGGTCGACTATGGGTCTGTTCTGACTCAGCAGTACGTCAACAACCACATTTTTACTTACACAAAAATTCAGGTGCATCTCAAAGACATGTGCAATGAAAACAAATTCTAAAGGTCACATCTACCATTGTCCCACTCATGTTAAAATTCTCAAAATGACAGAAGTGTAGAGATGAAAATCAGACTAGTGACCCAAAGAGTCAGGATGTTGGGAGGAGGCCGATTATGTGGTACAGTGGGAGTTTGTGGCCAAGTGTAATTCCTGATTGCTTCAGTGCTTCCATAAACATGCACATACCTTATGTCAAGTTCTATTTCATCGTTCTGACATTATGCTGCAGGTACGTGAGATGTGCCACCACTCATCCGTTGGTTGGTTGTGCAGTGGTTGCTTGCTTGTTGCTTTAACACTGGGAGCTCGGCCCCTGGGATTTCTAATACCAGCGGAGTCACCCCAAATGGGTAGGTTTTAGTGGAGCTTCCAGGACTTGCCATTCACTTCTAAATAATGGATCTTCAAAACCTCTACGATAACAGCAGAGAACACTGATACAGGGCCAGAGGAAGATGTTCTCCGCTTGGAAGGCATTCAAAATAGCTCTAGGGGAGAGCTGCCCCCTCAAAGTGGAGTGTTCCGTAATGACATAGATGGAGTAAAAATTTCACCCGGTGAAGGGCCTTTATTCGCTAATGCAGCATGAGTCAAAATGAGTAACAGGTGGCCCATTATTAATCAGCATGAAATATACTAACAATGTGTCTAGAAAAATTGGAAATTGTCAAAAGGAAACGGAATATCTAAAGATTGATAATTGTAGGCATTAGTTAGCTGAAAAGGACTGGTATTGGTCATTTTTTTTTCAACCCCTTCGGTTCCCTTTTGCCAAATTTGCCGGTTTGAGGGGAATTGTTTTCTTTTTCGGCACCGGAAGGGGTTTTTTTTTCTTTTTTAAGAAAGAGCATTTTAAGATCCGTCCTGAAAGACAGGGCAATGGTGGACATAGTTCAATGTTGACTAATTTCACTAAACATATGGATTGGGTTTAGAAGAGGCTGTGGTATTAGGGATATTGTAGCTGATGTTAGATGGATCTTGGCTGAAAGCAGGGAATACCGGAGGAATGTCTATCTGTGTTTCATTGACTATGTAAAGGCATTTGCCTGTGTATCACAATAAGCTATGGCTGACTCTGAGAAGAATGGGAATCCCAGAAAACTTGATTGTGTCTATGCTAAACCTATACTTGAACAAGGAGACAGGCATCAGAACAGAGCAAGGAAACACTGCATGGTCCAATATTGGGAAGTGAGTGCACCAAGAATGTGTCGTGTCCTAACTCCATATCTTTTGAATCTATAAGTAGAACAAGATATCTGGGAGGCTGGGCTCTATGAGAAATATGGCATCAGGATTGGAGGAAGACTCATCAATAATCTGCATTATGCAAATGACACAACCCTGCTTGCTGAAACTGAGGAGGACCTGAAGAGCTTCCTGCAAAAGTCAAGGACTGCAGGATTGAATATGTGTTGAAGCTCAACATCAAGAAAACAAAGATTCTCACCACTGGGCCAATTAGCAGCATCAGTATGGATGGTAAAGAGATTGAGATAGTTAACAGTTTTCGTTTACTTGGCTTCACAATCAAAACTCTTGGCACCAGCAGACAGAAAATTAAAATATTAATTGTATTGGGAATATCTGTTGTCAGAGACCTCTCCAGAGTACTGCAGAGCAACAGTGTCAGGCTGGAGACTAAGGTGAGCCTGATCCAGGCCAGTCTTTGCAATCACTTGCTATACATCAGAAAGCTGGACTATGAGTAGGGATGATAGAAGAATTGATGTCTTTGAGCTGTGGTGCTGGAGAGGAGTATTCAGTATAGCATAGACTTATAGGAGAACTAACAGGTTCATCCTAGAGAGGGTGAAACCAGGATGCTCCATAGAGGCAAAGATTCTGAAGCTTGACTTTGGACATGTTGCAAGGAGGGACCAGACCTTGGAGAGGGATGTCATGCTTGGGAGGGTGGAGGGACAGCACAGGAGAGGAAGACCCCTGATGAGATTGACTGATACAGTAACTGGGGCAATTGAGGTAGGTGTGTTGGAATTTGTGAGACTGGCTCAGGACAGGGCAGTCGTCAGAGCTGCTATATATAGGGTCGCTATGGGTCATAGGCAACTCGACAGCACATAACAACAGCAGCAACCAACTTCTAACATATGAAATTGATTGAACATGTAGTCAAGATACATTAATCATGACTGGTGACTGGAATGCAAAAGCTGGAAACAAAGAAGGATTGATAGTTGGAAAATAAGGCTTTGATGACAAATATGAGGTCAAAATCACATCACTAATATCCTAAAAAAAAAAAACCACAGAAACAGCAAATATACACATGTACCTTCCGCAAGAGCATACACGGAAATCAAATTGATTATATCTGGGAAAAGAGACAGTGAGAAAGCTCAATATCAGCTGTCAGAATAAGAGCAGGGGCCTCTGTGGGACAGGTCATCAATTGCTCTGGTGCAAATTCTGAAGCCGAAGAAAAGTACACAAATCTATGAGAACAAAATACAACCCTGAATACTCAAATACACTACTAGTGAGTTAGTTCTGACTCAAAGTGGTTGTAGATGGTAATGGGACAAGATTGCCCATCTTCTCCCACCAAGCCACTGGGGGATTCAAACCACCTGAGACATAAAGTGTTTGTGTTTGAAGGCAGCTCCCTACACAATATGCTGTCCTCTAAGCATCTGTGTGAATGGAAAAATCATCTCAATAATTTATTTTATGCCCTGAACATTAACAACCAAAGACCAAAGGTCAGAAGAGTTACAGTAAGACATTAAGGAACATTAAGGATCGATCTTATTCACAAAGAAAGCAAAAGATCATTAAAGAGACAGGCGAGGGGACAATTTCAAAATAGAA